AAAAAACATTTGTCACTATTTTCGAGGTCTATCTTGCTGGACCTGACCCGAGACCATGAGAGCCAACATGTTAACGTGTAAAGTAAAACGATGTAACAATGAAACATGCTTGAAATGTTGTAGATGTGGTTATGAATGCGATGGTTTAAGTGTAGCGAGTAAACTAAAACAGTGGGTCCAGGTCGGATGAGGGAAAAACTTATCACCATCCATTTAACATACCAGCTGAATCAGAGATTCGTCAATTGATTACTGAATTGTCAACGAAACATAAAATAACGTGGAAAATAGTATATTTATCTTCAACATAAATAAATAAATAGGGATTGGAATCGTATATAAGAAAATCAAGAAACTAACGGCACGGTAAAAGTTTCAATAATCTGTGAAACTAACGGCACAGTGAAAGCCTAAAGATGTAATGTTGAAGTTGAAGTAGATGCACGATGCATTACAAGATGATTTCCCTAGCGATCCTCAAATTTCAAATGTCGTTTCTGCAATGAACAGTAAATATAATAAGGATGGTATAATGCCCAGTATGGTATCCGTAGTATAATCCATATATATTTCATCATGTAGTATAATGCCCAGTATGGTGCCACCGTAGTATAATCTATATATATTTCATCATGTGGTATAATGCCCAGTATGGTACCACAATAGTATAATCCATATATATATATTTCATCATGTCATATAATGCCCAGTATGGTACCACAATAGTATAATCCATATATATATGTATATTTCATCATGTAGTATAATGCCCAGTATGGTACCACCGTAGTATAATCCATATAGATTTCATCATGTAGTATAATGTCCAGTATGGTACCACCATAGTATAATCCATATATATTTCATCATGTGGTATAATGCCCAGTATGGTACCACCATAGTATAATCCATATATATATTTCATCATGTGGTATAATGTCCAGTATGGTACCCGTAGTATAATCCATATATATTTCATCATGTAGTATAATGCCCAGTATGGTACCACCGTAGTATAATCCATATATATTTCATCATGTAGTATAATGTCCAGTATGGTACCACCATAGTATAATCCATATATATATTTCATCATGTGATATAATGTCCAGTATGGTATCACCATAGTATAATCCATATATATTTCATCATGTCGTATAATGTCCAGTATGGTACCACCAGAGTATAATCCATATAGATTTCATCATGTCGTATAATGTCAGTATGGTACCACCAGAGTATAATCCATATAGATTTCATCATGTAGTATAATGTCCAGTATGGTACCACCATAGTATAATCCATATATATTTCATCATGTAGTATAATGTCCAGTATGGTACCACCATAGTATAATCCATATATATTTCATCATGTAGTATAATGCCCAGTATGGTACCACCGTAGTATAATCCATATATATTTCATCATGTCATATTTTCATTATTATTACATATACATATTGCGAACCGTGGTGTCTGTACGAACATCCGTGTACGGCGGCCGCTTCCCTTACTTAAGTTCGATTAACTTAAACTTTTCAAGTCACTGGGGACGGGTACTTTTACTTATGTATATGTGTATACTAAAAAATGTTAGGCTGGCTCGTGTGGCACTGATTAACTTTTGTATGAACTGTTACGAATGACATAGAAATTAATTAACAATTAATGACATTGTATATCGTAACGTCTATCAGAAGCTAAAATGTGTAACGTCTGGTAATGGTGTAACGTCTGGTAATGGTGTAACGAGCACATTTTTCACTCATTTCTTTTCGGAAAACTAGAAATTGAGAACATTTAATTTAAAGCAAAACAAAATTAGCAAAGCAAGTAGGACCTCTTCAAAATTAGGGATTACTAGAGCAGATAAGTCTCGAGTAGCTTTGCACGAAATTCAACAAACAAACCATCCAAGTACAAAAGTAACAATGTAAATAGGCCTATCGACGTGTTTGTTTCTAAGAGGATCTGAGTTGTATTACAACCCGAACAAATCGAACTGAGTCGCTAGATGATTAGACGAACTTCTTGAAAAATAAAAATTATGAGAATTTTTGTGGTAAAAATAAATAACGGGACCTTTAGGTTCCTCCTTATCCTTGAAATAGAAACCAAAGTACTCTGATTGACAGTATCCATTAGCCTATCTAACAGATAGCACAGTGCTTTCATTTTATTGGGGCAGAGATCATAGAATGTCGGGGCTTGGTGGTTTCAGCGCTTATTAAGTCGCAATCTGCGGGTCGCGGAACCGAAACCCGGCACTGAACATGCTCGCCCTTTCAGCCGTGGGGGTATTATAATGTTACGGTCAATCCCATTACTCTTTAATAAAGAGTAGCCCAACAATTGGCGGTGGGTAATGCCGGCCTGTTGCCCTCCTTTTCTGCAGATAGCCTTAGTAGCTTCGCCATAAACAACAAACAAATCAACAAAATGCCAAAGTTTGTTTTCGGAACATTCTATTGGCTCAAATAGCTATCTTTATTACGTCGGAGATACAGAATAACACGTGTAGAATTAACATTCAAATTTATCAGTGTTAACACGTGTAGAATTAACATTCAAATTTATCAGTGTTAACACGTGTGGAATTAACATTCAAATTTATCAGTGTTAACACGTGTGGAATTAACATTCAAATTTATCAGTGTTAACACGTGTGGAATTAACATTCAAATTTATCAGTGTTAACACGTGTGGAATTAACATTCAAATTTATCAGTGTTAACACGTGTGGAATTAACATACAAACTTACCAGTGTTAACACGTGTGGAATTAACATTCAAATTTATCAGTGTTAACACGTGTGGAATTAACATACAAACTTACCAGTGTTAACACGTGTAGAATTAACATTCAAATTTATCAGTGTTAACACGTGTAGAATTAACATACAAATTTATCATTGTTAACACGTGTAGAACTAACATACAAACTTATCAGTGTTAACACGTGTAGAATTAACATACAAACTTATCGTTTTTTAAGGAACTAAAAGACTTAACCCGATACCTAATTGGGGGGGGGGGTATAATTGAATTCCTCCGTATGGTAAGTATTAACATCGGTTTTTTTTGTTGTTGTTGTTTCAAGATATGAGCATGCCATAAATGTTAATTCTGATTACCAAGGTGTTCAAACGACGTTACTTATAATATATTTACTTCACTAAGGAATCAAATTATGCTAATATAATAATAAGTAGGCAAAAAAAAAAGATTTCACAAGACTTTATCAGGATATAGGATAAAAATACTGACATAGCATTGTTGTTGCCCCTTCCTCCTGTATATCCGCGGTGGGCACAGCACGGACAGCCCATTGTGGACCTTTGTGCTTAACATTTTAAGATTAAAACTTAAGAAAATAATATTTTATAGTTTTCTGATTTTTCATCTAAATATAGTTGGTTGTACCGAGAGTATATTTCTTTGCCCTACCACCAGAAGACCTGTTAACGTCCTGTTTAGCTGAAGTGTTAGGACTTACAACTTGTATATATCATTAAAATTGATTTAATTACGTTTACACCAGGTGTCGGGATTGTACTGATCACAGTTAGTGGAATCGCCTGGAAACTTACCTCCCATGACGCTCCCTCCTGTCGAGCCATGCTAGGTTTACAGTCAGACAATCCAGAACCCAACAGAAGGTTTGTGCCACGAGTGACCCCTTACGGACGACCCCATCATCCGTATGGAGGTGAGCATTATTACTTAGAACCATCGTTCTCAAATTGAATACTGTTCATAAATACACGTTTATTTAAGTAATGTAAGGCATTGGTATATACCATCATTATTTACATAATCTAACTGATTCAAATCCTTTTCTACTCTGTCCTCTGAAGCTCATTTGTGAATAACTTTGGAGCTGTCACGTGGAAAAGATTTGCCGAGTTTCGAATTAGATACAATAAGTAACTTTGGAAAGGATTTTATGTGTTTGGGATTAGATAAAGTGTAAATAATTTTAGAGCTATGATTTTGGAAACTATCTTATGTGTTTGGGATTAAATAAAGTGTGAATAACTTTGGAGGTTTCATGTTGGCAAGGATTTTATGTAATTTGATTATATGAAGAGAATGTTGTATACTTTGATTGTATGAAGAGAATGTTGTATAATTTGATTGTATGAAGAGAATGTTGTATAATTTGATTATATGAAGAGATTGTTGTATAATTTGATTGCATGAAGAGAATGTTGTATAATTTGATTGTATGAAGAGAATGTTGTATAATTTGATTGTATGGAGAGAATGTTGTATAATTTGATTGTATGAAGAGAATGTTGTATAATTTGATTGCATGGAGAGAATGTTGTATAATTTGATTGTATGAAGAAGAATGTTGTATAATTTGACTGTATGAAGAGAATGTTGTATAATTTGACTGTATGAAGAGAATGTTGTATAATTTGATTGTATGAAGAGAATGTTGTATAATTTGACTGTATGAAGAGAATGTTGTATAATTTGATTATATGAAGAGAATGTTGTATAATTTGATTGTATGAAGAGAATGTTGTATAATTTGATTGTATGAAGAGAATGTTGTATAATTTGATTGCATGAAGAGAATGTTGTATAATTTGACTGTATGAAGAGAATGTTGTATAATTTGATTATATGAAGAGAATGTTGTATAATTTGATTGTATGAAGAGAATGTTGTATAATTTGACTGTATGAAGAGAATGTTGTATAATTTGATTATATGAAGAGAATGTTGTATAATTTGATTGTATGAAGAGAATGTTGTATAATTTGACTGTATGAAGAAAATGTTGTATAATTTGATTGTATGAAGAGAATGTTGTATAATTTGACTGTATGAAGAAAATGTTGTATAATTTGATTGTATGAAGAGAATGTTGTATAATTTGATTGCATGAAGAGAATGTTGTATAATTTGATTGTATGAAGAGAATGTTGTATAATTTGATTGCATGAAGAGAATGTTGTATAATTTGATTGCATGAAGAGAATGTTGTATAATTTGATTGCATGAAGAGAATGTTGTATAATTTGATTGCATGAAGAGAATGTTGTATAATTTGATTTCAAAGTAATAAATAAGACTAACTTTTCGAGTTGGCTGCAAACCTTCAAGGTTTGTTTTTATATTTACTTTTGTAATAGATTATCCAGACTGAAATATGAAAATGTTTTATTTAATTCTTAACTCCGGAATTATACTAATCAATCGGAAAATCTCTTAATAGCTATGATGTATCCTGAGTTCCAACAGCGTCCTCCGCCTCCTTCCTACCAGGCTTCCATGCAAGAATATCGCCTTAGACTACTTTTACTAGATCGTCAACAGGTGGCAGCACCATCGCTGATTTCCCCTCCTCCAACATATCGCTCAAACCCAAGTAGTACGTTACAGAGGTACAGTGTTTTGATGTTTTATTTTATTTTAATTCTCATATCTGTCTCTGAACCTTAATTGAAAGTATGATTAAAGGATAGCTTACGTTTCCAAACATCTGTCAGTATCTTACTATTTTTTTATTTTACGTTAATCTCTGTAAAATACCACTAGCTTGGTATGACAATGGCACCAAATAAATACGGGTTCGAATCCCCGTCACACCAAACATGCTCGCCCTTTCAGCCGTGGGGGCGTTATAATGT